AAGATTTTTAAATTTTGTTATCACTTTTTGGGTTTGATGAGAAATATGCTCGGCTCCGGCGGCTTTGCCGCCTCGCCTCGCTCTGATTTGTAACGGTCCATAGCTCGGCTTCGCCTCGCCCTGTTCACTGTTCTACAAAGACAATTTCTCAGTTTTGGTAATTTTAAAAAAATTTCGTCCGCAATAGCAGGTATAGCAATTATAATAATAATTGCGATTTCCCCATTATCGTATATCGAATCCCGATCGCCTTCCGATCGATCGCCTCCAATAGAGAACTAATTCTGCCAAATTTTTCCCATTGTAAGTGCATACCTACGAAGGCAAACTTGGCAAACACGAGACATAATCGTTTTTTTTTACAAAAAAATTTCCAGAACCTTTATTTTTCAATCGATTCGGACGGGGAGCGGTGCATATGATAGCTAATAATTCGAGCTAAATATTTCCCATTGAACGTATCCGTCTGGAAAGTCTCTTAAAAAAATTATAACCAAAAAACTCACGCGTCTATGTCACCCTTAATTTAAAAAGCCTTCGGATCACTTCCAATTTCAAAATATACCCAAAACGCAAGCGGTCACGTATACTTTACGTCTTCCGCAATAACTTTTCCATTGTAACATTATAACTATTCTCGTCCCTTTTAATTAAAATAATTAATACAAAAAATTTGTGACATTAAAGAAAAAAAAAGCGAGCGCGCTCAGGTTCGAACACGCGAACGCCAATCCAAAATCCTACGTGCTAACCGTTAAGCCACCGTGACTTTCAATAGCACGTCTTTTAAACCATTATAAGTATGTCGAGAATACTTAAATTAGCAAATTTTTTAAACACACATTATTTACTCCACACTTATTTGAAGCACTTTTAAAGTTTATAATAGTCAATTTCGAACACTTACCGACGATTTTAATACGTTAATTTCCTTTTATGAACACTTTTAAAACTTGACGGAATCCGTTTGACAGTTAACCGACACGTAAACTTTATCACTTAAATTCGAACACAAATCGATCACGCACCGTCCCGAAACCGATTTTAACACGTTCCTCGTAGTTTTCTCGAATTTTTGAGACCTCGATCGAAATTCTCCGTCTCAAATTAAACTCGCAATTAATTAAAAAGACAGTACAGCGCGTTCGGCAATCTTCGGCGCTTAATGTGGGCGAAAAACAAAACGAAGCGGTCACGTGACTTTTGCAGACCTTCGGGAGAAAATTTACCACGGCGCCGTCGTCCGAGTTACCTCCTCGCGGTAAACGGAAAAAGAAAGAGAAAACTTGGCCGCAGGTATCGAAGCCGATTCCGACGCCGTATCTCTTCGCCGGAACGCGCTATTCAAAATCTCCGGTTTTTCACCTCTCACCCCCCTCCGGGGGGTGGTAGGGCGACCCGCGACCCCTCGTCTCGTAGATCTCGTCGAGATCTACAATCGCGCAATTGTACGTTTTGCTCTAACTCTAACCGTTCGGCCTGTAGAAGGCGTCAAAGTTGGAAAATGCGAAAAACCACCTTTTCGAGAGCGACCCTCCGGGTCGCGCGGTTCCCGAACGGGGCTATAGAATGGAATCGCACCCCGGCACAAATACGCTCCTCCGCGTCGCCCGACGGCTCAGAAAGCGCGAAAAAAAGTTCCGGCGAAGTTTTCGAGTTACGAATTTTTTTCTAAAATTTTCGATTTTTTCGCTTCTTATGGCAGCTACCCCGACGGGTGCCCCCAGAATTTTCTTAACCCCACCGAAAGTCGCGCCAACTATCTAAACTCCCCGAACCGGCGCCTCGACTCCCTAACCCCGACCGTATAGCCAAGGCGAATTTTTATCCGCGCCCGCGCACCTCGACGACGACGCTCCCCAGCCGCTCAGGAGAATTTCCCAGGTCCCAAACTCTCAGAATCGATGCGAAATCGTCTCAAAAAGGTGTGATAAAATTTTCATCAAAATCGAATCATTTTTAATTAAATTAAAAATGAAAATTGAGTAAACGGTTGAGTTCCTTATTTAAGGATCGAAAAACCGAAGCTTCGCTTCGGTTTTTCGATCCTGTTAACTAGATAGGTCCTTACGGACCTATCGGCGCCGTTTAATTAACGTACGCCTTTTTTTGTTGTTTACCGTATAGAATTAAAAAAAAATTTTTTTTTAAATTTTTTTATATTTTTTTAAAATTATTTTATTATTTTTTTGTTTCTTTATGTGGTTTACCGTTTGTCAATTTTTTTTAATTTTTTTTTTTATTTTTTTATTTTTTTTTATTTTTTTTTGGTTATTTTTTTGCTTAATGGTTGTTACAATTTTCTAAAACGGGAAAAGAAATTTGATTCGGTTCAAAAAAGCATCGATATGTCAATGGTCAATCTCATTACATAGGTTGGTAAAAATGCTTCGCATTTCAAGACTGCGCTAGAGTGAGTATATTTTGCACAGATATCGCCAAAAAGAGGGGTATTATACGTTTGTGTATTAATTTTTGGAGATGTAATCTATGTTCGGCGCAATACGATTTTTGCACAATTTAATTAGATGAACCTACCTACCGCGCACTTTTCATTTTACCGCACTACTGCAAGAAATAGTCTAAAATGATTTATGTTTTTCGTTTGTCAGATGTCAACACGCACTATGAGGTTTGAACAAAGACAATTTCTCAGTTTCAGTTTTGATGCGGTAAGAAAATGATATTGAGCAGACTGAATTAACATTTCTTTTAAATTTGTTTTTTGGATACATCACATACATATACAAAGTTGTTAAATTTCGATTCCAGATCAGCTCATAATTGCACATAAGATTTTCTAATTTTGGGAACAATTTTTGGGTATGATGAGACATACTCGCCTCGCTCCGATTTGTTACGGTCCATAGCTCGGCTTCGCCTCGCACTGTTCGCTGTTCAACAAAGACAATTTCTCAGTTTCAGTTTTGGTACAGTAAGAAAATTATATTGAGCAGACTAAATTGACAATTTTTTCAAAGTTATGGAATATTTTGTATTTTGGAAACGAATCGAAATTTTCAAAAAAAAGTCACTTTCCATAAGTGATGTTTCCAAAAAGAAAATATTCGTCACAATTTTGAAAAAATTGTCAATTTACTCTGCTCAATATAATTTTCATACTGTACCAAAACTGAAACTGAGAAATTGTCTTTGTTGAACAGTGAACAGTGCGAGGCGAAGCCGAGCTATGGACAGTAACAAATCGGAGCGAGGCGAGTATGTCTCATCATACCCAAAAAGTGTTCCCAAAATTAGAAAAACTTATCTTGTCGAATCCCGGTCTGCACATAAGATTTTTTAATTTTGGGAACACTTTTTGGTTTTGATGAGACATATGTACGCTGGGCTCCGGCGGCTCTCGTCTCGCTCTGATTTGTAACGGTGCATAGCTCGGCTGCGTCTCGCACTGTTCGCTGTTCAACAAAGACAATTTCTCAGTTTCCGTTTTGGTGTGGTAAGAAAATGCTATTAAGCAGACTGAATTGATATTTTTATGAATTTGTGAGGAATATTGTTTATGAAAACATCACCTATACAAAGTGACTTTTTTGAAAATTTCTATTCAACTTGTTGCATCCAGATCTGCACATAATTCACATAAGATTTTAAATACTGTTATCACTTTTTGGTTTTGATGAAACATACGTTCGGCTCCGGCGGCTTCGCCGCCTCGCCTCACTCTGATTTGTCGCGGTCCATAGCTCGGCTTCGCCTCGCACTGATCACTGTTGCACAAAGACAATTTCTTAGTTTCAGTTTTGGTAATGTAAGAACATAATATTGAGCAGACTGAATTGACAATTTTTTTGAATTTGGGAAGAATATTTTTGTTTTTTTGAAACATCACCTATATTAAATGCCTTTTTTTTGAAAATTTCTATTCAGCTTGTTCAATCCAAATTTGCACATAAGATTTTTTAATTTTTATTATCATTTTTTGGGTTTGATGACAAATACGCTCGGCTCCGGCCGCCTCGCCTCGCTCTGATTTGTAACGGTCCATAGCTCGGCTTCGCCTCGCACTGTTCACTGTTCTACAAAGACAATTATTCAGTTTCAGTGTTGGTGTGGTAAGAAAATGATATTGATCAGACTGATTGGACATTTTTTTTTTTAATTTATGAGGAATATTTTTGTTTTTTGGAAACATCGCTACGGTTATAAAGAATTTTTGTTTGAATTTGTATTTCGAAAAAAGTTAAAAAAAATAGCTTAAATCTACAAATAACCTAATGTCCACCGGTGCTTGGTGTCACATTCGATTTAGCTTCATTTATAAATTTTTGTTTAAATTTGTCTTTTAAAAAGTTAAAAAAAAATTTCTTAATTCTACAAATAACCTAATATCCACCGCTGCTTGGTGTCACATTCGATTTAGCTTCATTTATAATTTTTGTTTGAATTTGTCTTTCAAAAAAGTTTAAAAAAATTTTTAAAAATCTACAAATAACCTAACGTCCCAAACTGTTTGGTGCCACACTCTTCATATTCAGTTTTTTTTAAATTTGTATTTTAAAGAAGTATATATAAAATATGTAGGTATAAAAAAGCCTCGCGAGATACAAAGAAACTTTTTTTTAAAATTTCGATTTAACCTGTAGAAAGTATATCGGGCCGAAACTAATATCAGCGAAACAGTATTTTGTTATTCGTTTTCGCAAGGATCTCCGTTTTTTTTATTAGGTTTAGATGAATGACGGGAAAGGTGGGCGCGTGTAGGGCCGTAAGTAAGCGTCGTTTGCCGCCGCGAACGGGGAGAGGCGGGTCTACGGGAGAGCCCTCGTTAAGCCCAACTCGCCTTCGGCTCGCTCGACATTGATGGAGGAAAAATGCGAGCCGTTTTCGTCGCGAGAACGGCGAGCTCGAGAATTTTTGTTTGAATTTGTATTTCGAAAAAAGTTAAAAAAAATAGCTTAAATCTACAAATAACCTAATATCCACCGGTGCTTGGTGTCACATTCGATTTAGCTTCATTTATAATTTTTGTTTAAATTTGTTTTTCAAAAAAGTTAAAAAAAAATTAAAATTTTTTTTAATTTACAAATAACCTAATGTCCCAAGCTGTTTGGTGCCACACTGTAGCTTCATTTTCAGTTTTTGTTTGAATTTGTATTTTAAAAAAGTTAAAAAAAATTTCTTAAATCTATAAATAACCTAATGCCCCAAGCTAAGGGAGGGCCAAAGTGATGCCGAACTCGCCTTCGGCTCGCTCGGCATTGGTATACGAGGCGCGTGTGTTAAGAATCGAAAGTCTTCGGTTATTTTACTTAGTTGGGGAAGGGTTATTAAGAATTTTTATTTCGGATACAGTTAAAAAATAATCTTAAACATACAAATAACCTAATGTGCAAAGCTGTTTGGTGTCACATTTTGTTTAGCTTCATTTATAATTGTTGTTTGAATTTGTATTACGAAAAAAGTTAAAAAAAATTTCTTCAACATACAAATAACCTAATGTCCAACGCATTTCAAGTCTACGCTAGAGTGAGCATATTTCGCATTAATACCGTCAAAATTACATATTATATATGAACGCATCTATTTACAAATTGGAGAGTAAAAAAAATTCGAAATTTGATTTTACATTTATTATGATTTAGGTATTTAAAGAAAAATTTACATTTCAAATATTGATTAATAATTATCTTCGCAGGTGAGAATTCTTCGTAAGGTCGCGGTCGTCTGTTTAGGTGGAACTGAAAAATAGAACAAAATAATTAAATGTACAAACATTATTTTTCTATACCTGTCCATTTTTGATAGTACCTATTCTGTTGCGCAGAATTTTATTCGTGAAGAGCGAATCTATAAATTGAAAAAAATGTATTAATATTGATCGTTAACAATTCGTGAATGCGAAATCGTTTTTCTAAGAAACATCGGTACACAATTTTTAGTGAAGCTTGAAAAAAATTTAAATGATTTCGCATTTACGTAAAATTATCAAAAAAATATATTCCTTGCGTTACGAAGATAGAGACTGATATTGTAGACGGTGGTACCTTCGATGATAAGAACGGACCTAAAAAACTCAAACAAAAAATGAATTAACATGGAATGGTTTACCTTACAAAAATTAAAATCTGTATCAGTTTAAATTCACAAATGTGAATAAAATAAGATAAAGCATTTGGTGTATGAAAATGCGATAAAAAATTTAAAAAGATTATCGAAAACGGTTCGTTAGTAATGTATTTTTCATATCTTGAGAATCGCACCAATGCGTTTCGACAATTAGCAAGCAAACACAGAGTAGTCGGTCGATGCCTGTCGTATATTGTGTTTGACTGTGTCAAAATAGTTTATCGGCACATGCAGTGCGTGCTCGCTGCATTTCAAGTGCTCGAAATAATTCGACGTTGTCAAGAACATCGACGTAGTGGCAGTCAGTTGACAATGATGCTGCTATTGCTAGAATTTGTCGGCATAAGTGGTTTAGACTCTAAGCTGAGACATTATTAGATACACCAAAAATGAACCGTTGAGAAGTAAAAAAAAAGATGGCAAATTAGTTTTCGCATTAACATATGTAATGAAAAATAAAATTGATACAAACAATTTGAAATTTTACGTAGTTTACGCAAACTATAAATATTAATCAAAATGTGATACGTTTTACCTTCAATTTTAAGAAATACTTGCGTACAAATAGTGTTGTAGTCTTGATTATTCTTCTCGTAGATGCAAGGTGGAATGTCGTATCTGAAAAAGAAACGAAAATTTTAGTTTAAATTTTCAGTTTTCTCATTAATTTTTGCGAACGAAAGTAAAATTGTTATAAATATTTTGGTATTTTACGCAATTACACAAATCGTAAGGTGCAATTTTACTTTCGTAATAATACTTGCGAACGAAAGTATGATATCGTAGTCGTACAATGTCGATCAATTTCCTCTGTGGCACGAGATGTACTCATCGATCTGGACTGAAAATTAAAAAAAGTTTAAATACTTCACAACACACTGTTTTTGTACTTACCAAATTTTTAAGTTTTGTTTATTGTAACTGTGAAAAAAAACTGTAAAGGAAAAAAAACAAATTAAAGTTTTAGCTCCGATTTGAATCGAAACTCATCTCGTAATGGCTCAAACACTTGTGGCTTAAAAACTCTTAGTTGCTCTGCGCGTGTTTGTATAGTCGGACAATGTGCGCAGGGGGACGTACGGGACCGTTAATTCGGTCGTCGTTAAACTATTGCTAGGTGCACGTGTACGCGTTTGACAATTAGCAGGCAAGCACAGACTGGTCGGTTGATGCGCATCGTATATTGTGTTCGACTTTGTCAAGAACATCGACGTAGCGGCAGTCAGTTGACAGTAGTGTTGCAATTGCTAGTGTATGTCACGCGATCGTTTATATCGTCGACGATGGACGATAGTAGCAGTGTAAGTTTTTGACAACGTTAGATACGGTCGCAGTACGGCTAACTTGCACTACAAGTCGACGTAACACGTGGCAACAATGTATTATCGTGTAATACACGAGTCGAAAAGAGTTTATGGGAGACGCACAAAAATGTGGTTTCTCCTAAGCCCCCTCCTCTCCACGGCCCGTGAAGTGTTTCATGAGCTTACGAGGGTTTTGTGCATGTGACGCGCATTTACCCGAAGGTAAATTGTGGTACATTTTCGTCAGGGCGAGTCGAAGAATCTGCCTCGCCGAGATATCGGTGAAAATGTCTTGCGAACGTCGACGATGCGCACGAGCCTGAAATCAGTCTCAAAGTTAATTGCAAGTCAAAATTGAACGTGAATCGAAGAACAAACGACTTTCGGCATTAATAATCCCCTTTCGGAGGTGCAAAAATACCGTTCGTCGAAGTTCGGCGTTCGACTCGCAGTACTGTTCGAGAGAGAGGCGAGTCCAGGTCTTAAGGATGTCCGTGCGCATTGATGGCGAATCGGAATTGTCGCGCGCGTAGTCGTAATTCGGCCGTTCGGCATTAACAATCCCCTTTCGGAGGTGCAAAAACGCCGTCTGACCTTTTCTGCGAAAGCGCGTTCGTTCAACTCGGCCGCTTAGCGATCGTCGACGTATCGGCAGTCTGAAATCAGTCTCAAAATTATGTAGCAAGTCAAAATTAAGTGCGTGTCGAAGAACGAAGACGTTTGGCATTAATAATCCCCTTTCGGAGGTGCAAAAATACCGTTCGTCGAAAGTTCGTTCGGTAGACGCGTGTTCGAACTCGCTGTGCGATTGAAGAGACGACTTCGGGAACGTCAATGTTGATGATGCACAAAAATTTGGACGAATCGAAAATTATCGCACGTTATGGGAACTCGACCGCTCGGCATTAATAATCCCCTTTCGGAGGTGCAAAAATACCGGTAGTCTCGTCGCCGCTACGTGCGTGTTCCGACTCGATCCGAAACTGCATAGCGTGCCGGTCTAGCTAGCGCGTCGTCGAACCTAATCGGCATTAATAATCCCCTTTCGGAGGTGCAAAAACACCGTTCGGTTCGCTTCGCGGCTCGTTCGGTTCGGCAGCGAAAATCTGAAACAGTCTCGAATATATTTGGCAAGTCAAAAAATTTATTTATTCTATTTTCTCGCACGAGTGACTCGCCGGGCTTAGGAGAAAATATTTCTAGCGACGATGTTTTTGATCGTACAAGGTCCATTCTTGCCGCTGCGCGGAGCGCAGATTTTGATCGCGAGTTTGGTTCGCACCCTGCTCATCGCCACGTACAGCTGTCCGTGACTGAACAGTGGAGTTTTAAGCAAAATGCCGACTTTGGTGACGGTTTGACCTTGCGCCTTGTTGATCGTCATCGCGTACGCCAATTCGACGGGAAATTGCATTCGGCTGAAGTGCAGACCCGTACCGTCGGGACGACGGTCTTCGTAAGTGAACGGTAACATCGACAGCACGCAGGTTTTTCCGCGGTACGGTCCCACGGCTATTCTGCAGTGCAGCAAATTTTCGCCCATATCGGTTACGATCAGACGGGTGCCGTTCGACAGTCCCTGCTTCACGTCTATGTTTTTCAACAGTATCACCAAGCAGTTCGACTTGAGGACGAGACGGTGAGGAGGAAAACCCGAAGGATTCTCCTCGTTCAGGTAGACCACGTCGTGAACGGCGGCGTGTACGTCGAGTATCGGATTGTCTACCAGCGACTTGTCGGCGGAGAGGTACACTCTCTCTTCGCCGGGCAAAACGTTCAAGATCTTGCGATTGAGCTCTCTGACGTCGACGCGTCTGGCGCTTAGAATGAGCCTGTCGGCCACCTCTTCGACGTTCGTTAGAGCGCTTTCGTCCGGAAAGACGAACTTTATAAGATCTTCCTCGCCGTCGGCGAGCATTTCGGAAGGAACGCGGAACGTTCCGCTACCGTCCGCGTCTTTGCCTATACGCTCCAGTAGATCGACGAATTCGACCTCGTCCGCGTTGACCCGCATGTTTCTCGTCAGTTTGATTTCCTCGAACGAAGCGAAGAGTTCGGAATTTTTTATCGAGGCCATGATCTGATCGTGTATATTTCCGAGAACGACTATTGGAAAGAGCTGCTGCCAATCTCCGCCTAGCAAGACTACCTTTCCGCCGAAAGCGAAGTTGGACAGTTGCTCGTCGGCGGTATGTTTGCACGCTTCGTTCACCATTCGGAAGAGGTTTCTGTGCAGCATGCTGATCTCGTCGATTATTAGCAGTTCCGCCTTTCGGATTCGGTACGCGACGATGCTGTTATAGGAGATGGGAGGAACGTAATCGGTGCACGTCACATCTCTCGGTAACTGGAAGGCGCTGTGAACCGTCGTTCCTCTTGGGAGTAATTGTGCCGCGACGCCCGTCGATGCCGTTACCAGCGCGTACCTTTTGTACTTGACGAAAATGTCGATCAACGTTCTGTACACGAACGTTTTACCCGTACCGCCCGCGCCGCTCATGAAAATCAATCTCGGCACGTTGGTGGCGGCGGCGACGGAAGGAGAAATTTGGACGGCCGTTATGACGGCGTCGACGATTCGCCTTTGTTCGACGTTTAGCCGTTGATATATCGGCAGATTCGCGTAGTTGCGGACGTGTTCGGTTTCGATATCTTCCTCGTCGACGTTTTCGGACGGTAGAGCTACCGTCGGATCTAACAGATTTTCGTCGTCCAAGACTCGATCGTGACCGAAGAAGAAATCTCTTTCGTCGTTGCAAACGGAATCGTAATTGACCGGCATCGGTATGTGGTAATCGGCGTTGGTTTTCCATCGACGGCTCAACAGACGATTTAACAGACACAACGCAATGTTAATCCTTCTCGACTTTTCGCGATCGTCGTTTTCGCGTAAATTTCTGGTGTCGTACATGAACGGAAGGAATTCGTTCCATAGCGCCAGCGGATCGGTTACGTGACCGCAGAGTAGTATTTGCGCGAATAAATTGCGCATCATTCGCGGATTGCCGACGTTGCTCGCTTCGAAAAGCGTTCTGCGCCAGATCTCTACGTCTTCGAGAAGACCCATGACCTTCGCGCATTCGACGAACGTCTCGCAAGGCGTCGCGTGGTTGGGAGGAGTTCGTAAATCTTCCCAATTCAACGGACCCTTTTTGCACATTACCAACTGGTATACCGCAAACTTCTCTAGTTGTCCGGGCTGGACGGGATACAGACGACCGATAATTTTACGCTGAACCTTCCTCTTCAGCCAACGATTGGATCTTCGATCGAACCAATGCGTCTCGGGCAGTTGAGGAAAGGTGACGTTTCGCATTTCGGATATGCCCTGTCGAAGTTCTTCGGAACACTGCGCCATGTACATTTCAAGTCGGGACAGTCTGGTGGTGCTGTCCAGCACTCTGGCGGCGAGTACGTCTTCGAAACCGCGACGATAGTACAGGGGACCTTCTCCGGGCAAATGTACGTCGAGACGGTAAACCGTGTGCGATAGACGAATCCTTCGCCACGAATAAAGCGACGTGTGCGCTTCCGGAGCGGAACGATAGTATCCCTTCATTATGCCCTCGGTTTCGTCGTAATCCACGGTCGGATCGTTTGGATCGTTCGCGTTGGTAATTTGGACGTACGCGTAGTTGCCGACCTTGAAGCTGTACTTGACGGCGTACTTGCAGGCGTTCGTGCCGTAGCAAAACTCCACGTTGTGGTGCGCGTCCCACGCCAACAGATAAGCGGGATTGTACGCGACCACCGAGGCGTTGGTGATCACGCGTCCCTTCGCCGTACGATGTACGGCGCCTCCGTCGTCGGGGGATCTTCGCCTGTACAGCGCCGGTCTGTCTTCGTATATCGTGGTCTCGCTAGAGAACTTCTTGGGAAAGCCCTTGTTGCATTTCCCCTTTTCGTTTAGACAGAAGCTGCTGCAATCGTGAATTTGATACTTCACGACCAAATCTCGCAGTTTTCTTTGGACCTCCGCCTCGTCGCTTTTGTCGTCCTCGCTGGGCAAGTGCGGAATTTCGGCGGATACGTACTCGTCTACGTATTCGCTCGTGTTCGGGCAGTCTAAACTGATTAGACGATGCGTGTGGGGCCCGCCGCGCTTCTGAAACTCGAGACTTTCAGTAAACGCGTTTACTTTGCCGAAGATGTGCTTGTCTTCGATGAGGTGTCGCATTTTGTTGATTTTCACGAAAAACACTCGATTAACGATATCGGGACGATCGGTAGCCTTTTGACCTCTCATCAAATGCTGCCTGACCTCTTTCCACCAGGGGTTGCCCGTGGAGGTAACCATAAAGGTCGCCTTTCCCTTTCGTTGAAACAGTGCCATGGCGTCGTGAAACTTTTGCTGATACCATGCCGGAGAACCGACCATTCTGGAAGACAGCCGTATCACCTTCCCCAATTTTTTATTGTTGTTCGCCCGATGCAGCTCCCTTTCGAGCGCGTGACGAACTTCCGGTGCGGTCGTACAAAAGATTTCGGCATTCTTTTGAATGTACTGATACACCTGTTGATCGGCTTTTATGCTCTGATCGATGATGTACTCCTGAGCGATGCTACCGAACGGGTACAGAAAGTGCGCGGAGGCCGTGGGATCGCCGCCGCGAATTGCGAGATGGTATCTATAGAACTCGCGTATAGACACGTTCTGCTTGTCGTCGCCCTCGTCCTCGTCGTCGTCGTGAACGGCGTCAGGAGGGCTGGCGATGTCGTTCAGTTCGGCGGCGTTGTCCCGTCGCCGCACGGGCGCATTTCGACTCGCGCGTTTTGCGATACCGCTGTGGTAGCCGGGGTCGCCGTGTGCCAAGTTCAGGACGTAGTGAGCGCAGTCGTTGGCTTGATGGTAAAGCGGCAAGAGAATTACTTCGCCGCTGTTCTTTTTCAGCCAGGTACCGTGACGATAAATCGGCTCGTTTCGTTCGTTGGTAACGTAAAACGCGCACAATTCGTTAACCTGCGGCAAGTTGACAGTGCGCGGGTGCAGGCCGGGATCGGCCACCGTGTCCGGTACCTTTTTCGGATTCACCAAGACCAACGTGACGTGCTGCACGTCTTCGAAGCCCTGCTCACGAACTTCCGCCAGTTTTTCCTCGTAAAGCGTGTGCATCACTTCGAACGCCTCGCATAGAGGATGACAGCGTCGGAGTACGGCGAACAGCTTATCGAGGATCTCCCGTCGAATGCCGAACTTGGAGTAGAGGGGATCCCTGGCGACCGCCTCGTGCATCGTAATCGGATCCAGCATGTAAAGTTGACCGTGCACCGGCGTTTTACCGTCGGAAGCGAACAACGGACTTATGTTTCGCTTAATCTCGCCGTTTATGAGTAGAACGGGAGGACCTTCTCCGGGCGCCTTCTTCCTACCGGCCTCTACGCTACCGAACCTCAGCAGCATGTTGTAGATCCGGAAGTACTGCAGGAAGTGTTTTCCGTGCACGGCGTCGCTCGTGAGTTGGCGAATTTCCTCGGGAACCGGTCGGATTTCCGGTAAGACCACGTCGCCATTTTTACAGCACATCGTGCTGTTTTCGTCCTCAAATAAGAGTGCCTTGCAGTGCGGGCACACCTTGTCGCCGATTTTGCCGCAATCGAGGTAATCGATTCGATGCTTGGCGCATTTCGCGAAACAACCGTATTTGCCGTGCCGTTTCTTGCAGTGTTTTAACGGTTTCAAAGTTCGCTTGGTCGTCGTTCTGCTCTCGCTGTAGCTGGCATTGCTTCTACCGGATCGGGTAGATCGTCTGCTATCGGTCGAAGATGCAGACGCCATGCTAACGTCGGAATCGGATTCGACGGGCGAGGTGCGTCGAACGATCGGCATCTCCTCGTCGACGTCGCCCACTTCGACTTGATGGAAAGGATCGTCGTGTCTGGCTTCGTACTGCGGAACTCGTCCGTGACACAGTTCGAATAGCATACCGTTAACCCTTTGACGTTCGGTAGCGATATTGAAATCTGCCAGAAGCATCCTCTTGTCGTTCGTGAGGTACGTTTCGACGTAGAGAGAGACGTAATAACCGCAGTTGTACCCGTCTCTTTGAACGTTGTAACTTGCGGGGTCGGCAATTTCGATGTCGATGGCGTCGTCGGACGCGAAGAACGGATCGAATTCGCGAATTGCGTCCTTGATGGCGGGTATGTAGCGGGCGTTGTCGTCGTCGAAACGATTTTTGTTGGGCAGGGGGTCGTAAAGTACGGTTCGACCTCTTCGCTCGTGTATTACCAGCGCGAAGTGTCCCGGGAAGTAGATCGGGACGAACAGTACCTCGTACTCGTGACGATCGCCCCACGCGCCTACGGTCGACGAGACGGGCGCGTTGCTCCATACGCCTATCGTGTACCCGATGTTAATCAGGACCGACTTGATCACGTCCTGCGCCAAGTATGCGACGTACATCATGTAGCCGAATACGCTGTTTACGTTCATCTGCGATGTCGGATCGTGGAATTGCGCCATCAGATCGTATCGAGCGAGATCGTAAAACGGGGTGTCTAAATAGCCGGCAGTGATGTCGGTGACCCGTTGCGGTACTCGCAGGCGACGTTCGGCGATTTGTAGATTTGCCATCGCCAAATCGTCAACTTCGTCGAAGTAATTTTCGACGAGAACCTCTACCGGAAGCGCGGTAGCAGGTATTGGGGTAGATGCGGGTGGTGGCATTGCGGACTGCGACAAAGTAAGCGGCGCGTCGTTTTCGCTACCAGAAGTGCCCGCTTTTCTGGCTGCATATTGGGCCGCGATACCCGAAAGTACTTTACGCTTTCTGCCGCGTTTTTTTTGGGACCCCTTTTGTGCAGTCTATGAAGAATGTAAAAATTTGTTAATTTTAAACAACGGATGGATAAATATCGTTAGAAAAAGAAGTAAGTTCCCTTAATGATGCAATATTCCATATAACAAAAAAGTTGGTATTCATATATTATTAGTATGGGTCATCTTGAATTTCATTTTATATTATTGTAAATATGCACGTTCCAATAGCGAAATTCAACATATTTTTTCAAACTTTGTTACTATTAATTCGGTAATAAAATTATATATCACGCTTATCTATTCAAAAATGTATTAAACAGTGATCGCAGATTTGTCACTGTGAAACATTCAAATAGAATATTGGAATGTTAAATAAAAGTTATTAAAATGAAGATTTTATACGTGCGCAAGTAATTTAAAAAATAAACATATTGTTCCTACCTTTTCAACGTCCACCGGTGGCAGAATTGAGTTAGAGCCGCGAGAAGTCGAAGAAGTCGCATCACTCTTCTTCGCTAAAAATCAAAGAAATTATGTTTTTTTAAACTAATCGAAATTTAAAATAAACTTTAGAAATTTTTAAATAAAATAAAACAATTTACCTTCATCACGTTGCTCTTTTCTCAATTTATTAGCGAGAGCGACGCCACGAAGCTGCTTCGTCTTCTTCTTACGCACGCTCTGAAAACAATTTAAAGATTGCTTCGAGACATATTATACAAAATTTGATTACCTACGACATAATATGCAAAACGACTTCGAACATATCAATCGTTCAAAATAATAAAGTACAATTTTTTGCGCATGCATTTTGTTTACTTTTATTTTAGGGATCTATCATAAANGATGGGAGGTTTATTATTGTCGGTGTATACAAAACATCCTAACAAATGTATGTGTTGGCCTCTAGGTTACCAGATGTACAGCATGCAATAAGAGATTCAAACAAATAATCATATATAATACCATAAGTAGTCGAAGTATTGTCGAATATTTTTGAGGTGCTGTCACGAATGCTAGTTACGCTGATTAATACCACGAGCGCTTGCGCGAGTGGTATTAGAAAGCGTAACTAGCATGAGTGGAGCAGCAGCTCAAAAATAATCTACAAATACTTCGACTACGAATGGTATTCGGAGGACTATTCAATGAATCCAAAGAAAAATTAAGCATAATTACCCACGCGAATGTATTTCCATGACAACAATAAACGTCAAAATAAATTATGGAAGTTGCTTTTCATTTTGCTATTGATTCTATTCGAACTTTTGTGCTCCAAGCTAATTCGTTATGAGTGATTAAATTAAAAGATGTGGTGATAAGTCGGTTGTCGAAATTGATTAACAAACTAAGAAGAATGTTCCGGGTAATACGACAAAATTTCGCGTCATTTCACTGGTGGAAGTTTGACAAATGTCATTGAATAATCGAATTGAATTGTCGCTGAAATACCACACGTGAAATTATCACTATAATTCGTTCCCATTGGCTCAACAATTTGAAATCTCGACATTTCACTGGTCATAAATATTCATCCCGAGAAAAAATTGTTCAATCACCATCTAACAATACCTATTAGAAAACACCTATTGAATTTAATAACACAAAATGACAATGTAATTTTGTGGCAAAAAGGCACATTTTGGTTGTAACAAATGTAGTGTAAGATCTCATCTTCGAAACTGTTTCAAATTATACTGCACAACATAAAAAATTTAATAACATGTTTACTGCCTAATGTGTTTGTCATGCATGGTGTCTGTTTAAACGGACGGCCTATATTGTTCAAAACAACACATTTAAAAAAAATTAACCGGGAACACAAACGTAACTAAACATGTAGTAACACACAAGATATTCACAGATTTACAATGTGGTCAATGTCATTACATTGTCAGAAATAAATTTAAAAAGTGCATTGTAATTATGCAGTATCGGATAGAAGTTGATTTAATTATATAAAGGGGCACACATACTAAAGTATCGAGTCCGAAGCACACCAAGGTTTTAATGAATCAATAAGAAATGATCAGGTTAAGGGTATAAATGCAGCACAACCGAATGTACCTCGTACAGTCCGGCAGGCACTTGATGCTTATTCTGCCTTGATTTGTCCATTCGTAATGATTACTCGATAAGTGCCTTAACAGTACACTTTCAATCTAAATTGCAACTGATTGTTTGGACAAAACTTTTACATGATTTTGCGTGTAACCGATTCAATAATTCGTTTGCTCAATTCAATCATAATATAAACGTAATTTTCAATCTAACCTCCTTTCCCGATTGTGAAGCAACCGCAACGATTGGTTGGACATCATCGGTCACGCTATGATTGGAATCGGTACTTGAAGCTAAAAGAATAGTGTTCATTAATCCGTTAACAGAATCAAAGTTATGCATACATAGTCTACGAATCTTTGCATTTCGACTGGCTAATGCAGCTCCAGTTAACCGTTTGGGTCGGGGCATATCGATACCGATGAGGTAATCTGAAAAACTAAAAGAAGTGTTTTCACATTCGCACAATATATATTAGGAATTTGTTACTTACAAGATAATTAAGTACAGAAACAAAGACAATGAATAATAGACGATCGTCGAGGACTATCTAATCTTCTTCCTTTAACCTACAAATATAAATTTAAAAAACGTGTTCTTCGAAATCTGAAAAAATACTTGTTACATAAATTAAATCATATAACACTATTGACTTACCAATAAAACAAACACTTCAAAAACTACATAAATGTGTGGATGATCGAAAATGAAATTAAAAATCTTCTACAAAAGAATGTCGTCCAAGTTACACCGTGTCGTATCCGGAGATGATCACGAACTTTAGAAGTGAAGTGGCACCACTGGCGTAATAAGGTAGCGGATGTAGATTCAAACGTGACTCTTTTAAAAAATATAGTGTAGGGGATCAACACAGCGACTTGATAGTATCATGTATACAGCGATAAGAACCCATCTAGTCACCTTACCCTGATAGGTGACGGGACATACCCTCAGCTTCGCGTCTCGATTAAATAATTCTTTGCCAAATTGCAAAACCGGGCATTACATTCCCAATTTATTTTTACAATAGAATTTGTAGAATATGGGGCGAGTAGAGGGAAACAAATGAAAATCACCGGTATCATACCGAAAAAACCATATTGGACACAATTTTAGCTAGTCGTTCCTTTATTATTATAAAAGTTTGAAATGCAGTTTAAGAAATGGGAACGTTAAATTGTGGGATTTTTTTAAGAAATGTAAACGTTTTCCTTTTATTATGGAGATACCACTAATCTCTATTTAATTTTTATTGAGATCAGTGGAAGACACGCAGTCTGTAATACAAGGGTGTGTGTGTGTGTGTGTTTCCTTTTTAATTTTCATTAAAAGTGTGGTAAGTATTTTTTGAATTACCTTGACGATTGATAGTAACTTATTATATTTATCAACATTTGTAGTGATGGAATTTTATTTGGGAGACAGTATATTAAGAAGGATGTTGGCAACGGTGTGCAAACGGAAAGTTCGGTGGATGCACGGCAAGCGTTTGGTGGATTTATGTATCGGGGGCCAAACTATAACGCAATTAAGACGAAGAATCGAGAGGTCGCGTAATGCAGCTTCTAAATGGTTTGTGCCACGGAATGTTCCTCTGGTTATTTTGATTGGTACGAACGATATTTCAAGAGGCGTAAAGGCTTCCGTTGCCATTAGAAATTTGAAGGGGTTATTACGTACCTTAAGGAAATGGACGTTACAATATCGAGCCCTGCTGTGCACCGTTCCTCCCATGATCCGTACTGGGCAAAGCGTACAAATCGAATTGTCCCAATACAATGCGGCGATTAGAGATATATGCTCTAATCGCCGTGATGTTTTTAAACTTATCGATTTGTACGCCTTGTTTCAGTGCGAGAATGTGGAACGTATATTCGAACGGTAAGTTTCATATATGATATTTTGTATGTGGTATTAATTTGGAAAATTTCAGTGATGGTATACATCCGAACGCAGCAGGGTTGAAAAAAATATACCGTGCCATTCGAAGTAAGTTGAGTGCGTATATGAGTTATAATTGAAAATAAAATATTTATTTTTATTGTAGGTACGTAATAATCGTTTCAGATTTATGATGGCAATTGAAGACGATTCGCCTTTTGAAATACGTTATACAGGGTTATTACAAATAATGTTGATAATTGCAAGCGTGCATTAATCTAGTTTTATTTATCATACAAAGAAATAAGATAGATACATTCTTAGGAAAAATATTTAGTATATTATAAACATACCAATCCATTTTTATTTTCAATCGAAATCGATAACATCATCTATCTGTAATAATCCTGTATTATCAAATCATTTAGTTTCTGCTTATTCGTTCTTCCGATTCTTCTTTTTAATTGAGTCGAATTGCTGTGCATTCGCCTGTCAAAGTATTGCATGGCATGCCGTTGTTAACATCAGGTAAAAAAAGAAGGTACCTACTTTTTTCATTTGTAGTAATTTTCATTTTTTTTTGTAGATTCATCACCTAACTAATTTCAACCGTCTCGCTTCAAATACTTAAGTTAGCGCTTTTACCCGGTGAGAGATTACGCAAATGACATTCTGTTGAAAAAATTTCAATTTGCATCCTTAAGTACAAGCAGGAAGTGTATAAGTGTTGCTTTTCTATGTAATTTTTATTGCAAAATAATATTGACTTTACATGTTTGTACAATTGTATAACATTTTTTGTTCCACGTCTGTCATCTAGGCATGTAGTTAACTTTTCATTTACCTATCTCAATGTCGAACAAACTCTTAAAAAAATTCTTCATTTTATAACATGTGATTTTTATTAATATCTGTATTACTAACTTAAAGCTATTGTTAAATGTAATTAATTTATCATTATTTTCATATGTTGTTGATGCTGTTGTAAATATAATTTTCCGCATCATTTATGTAGCCTCACGGCAAAATAATTTTTATTTTTGGGTATTATTCAATTTCATTCGAATCTAATATTGCTTTGTGTAGCTTAGAGGCAAATCGATTTTATTTTTCGATCATTATGTTAACGGCAACGTTTATTTATATTGCATTCACTTGAGCTGTAGCTATATAATTTTGTTCTTTTTGAAAGCTTCTATCTGTTGGGACAATAAACATTATTATTATTATTCAATTTGAATTTTAAAAGCGTATATATCAATATTTGAACTTTTTCGAATGTGAGATTATCAAAAGTTATATTCAACAAATGTGTATAGGTACTTTCGTAGTAGGTACCTATATGATAATAAATTGTAAATTCGAATAAATTTATTTATTTATTATCCCTCTTTTGTTTTGGGCTCTCGAAAGGCTTGCGCCCAATTACAGAGTGACCTGCATAATGCTTTTTAGAGGTCCTGTGCAGAAGGTCTTAAGTTGTTCTATACTACTGCAGTATTTACCTTACGAATTAGGAAAACCTGATTCGGAATAGCCGGCAAAATGCAACTGGTCTAAGGTAATTCTCATCTCTTGCCACAGATGAAAAATTCACCTTAATCCAAATTCGAACGCCCGACCTCCGGTTTTATAGTACAATGCTCTACCACTGAACCATAAAGCCGATCAAGTACATCTCCGCATAAAATCCATGGTAATTAAATTTGAAATCGGGTAACCTTTAACTTATTTTTTGAACGTTAATTGTTACAACCCAAGGATCATCAACGAATTACGGGGAAGGTTTTTTAAGTTAAGTTGATCGCTATCCACATATTCATTGCGAATTTTATTTATAGATCTATAACATATCAAAATAGCATAACTTTAAATTGTAGCATCGATGGATGAAGGAAGTAAGCCAGTTTTACCGTAAAAATACGCGTCTCGTTTACCTTTTTACGTTTCGCGTAAGCCACCCAAATATAACGATCACACCTCATATTACAAACTTTTACAATTGCTATTAATTATCTTCTCTAGATGATCAATTAGCGTTGGCGTTACCAATATTATTAAACCAATTTGTATATTTTGTTGTAACACGCCCTGTATATAAGGTAGTATAAAATTTGTTCATTATAAATATAATCTTCTTTGGCAAATTGTCGACTGTCTAAGGGCAAATTTTATAAAAATTTAATACCTAACCTATAATTATTATAATAAAATAAAAATGTACCCATGGTAATACATTGTAAATTGGAACTTACGAAAAGCAAAGTTTGGAAAAGATCGCAAAACTGCTTATTCTCTTGATTATTTAGTTATGCGGTACGATTTAAAACTAAACACTAATTAGAAAACTCTTACAGGGGGATACTGTATGTCGATAGAATTCATGTCAAATATACTTTGTTAACTTTGAACATTCTAAACTGTTGTTTTGTAGTGATATGTCTTTCTGGCATCGTATTCTTAGTGCAGCGGCAGGCTAATGAAAAAGTATCCTCGTGTAAACAGTTCCATATGAACCAATAACCCATCTACCTGTCGCAGGTGATATGACGCTTGCGGTGAAAGTTGACATTTCGCAAGTGGTTCTGTTAACAGTATGTCTAAACACCTGTCGCACTCCACCTTTCGACTTGTGGATATGTCAATGAATTACCGAGTCGACGTGCCAATTCTCCACCGTAGATAACTCCGTTCTCAAACATGTTTGACGAACTGAAATTAACGGTGAACCGAGAGTTGTTTTAACGGATAGATTTTACAGATCGCCTGCGACAAGTAGAATTGATAGTTACACCTATAGCTACTATAACGTTCAATGTTACAGGTATATCTGAGGAGATATATGTCTTGTGAGCGACTGTATTTCGTTCAAAAGCACAGTCTTATAAGGTATAGCTACACACCTACAAGTACACCTGTCAATTTTACCTGTCACAGGTGACCTACAGGTACACCATTCATCTTGGTTGGTTACAAATGTTTAAGAACGGAGCCATTTATCCAGGACCAGTGACAGGTCGAGTCAGGAATTCATAAACATTACAAACCAAAAGATCGGGTGCGATAGGTGCCTAGACATAGTACGAATTCCTGTCATTCAAATAAAGAAAGCCACTTCGATATTGACACGTTCTTCTCGGGGTCGATCACTTAATGCCAGTTGATGCAATGATATTTATCATTGTTGTAATAAAGCTAGGAAAAAAATGTTCAGAATTGAATTTTTTTTGTAACATGTTTTAAATTTAAATGTAAATGAAATAAGGACTAAGATATGGTAGTAATAATTTTTTTAGATTTGATGGTTCAATTTATGTGGCCTGTACGAGACAGATCGGGATAAAATCTAAACACGTTATATAATTAAAGTATGTTTATTTTAAATTATAATAAAAATTAAATACGAATGTATTGCCCCCTTGTGAGGGGGCATTTTGCTGCGCCGATGTCTCAGCCGGTGTTGGCGGAGCCGGTGTCGGCGGAGCCGGTGGGCTGATGGTCTTCTAAAAAAAAAATAAAAATAAATTACTTTTTTTGTATCTCTGAAATTTTTGAATTTACATTTTACAGAAGCAATCAATCAATCTTGTAACTACCAGCTTTTGCTGACGTGTTAGTGATTTTAAAATTTATTTTTTTAAAATCTTACCGTTGTTTCTTCTCGACCACGATGTCGTCGTGGCCCTCGTCCCCGATCCCGTCCACTTCTCCGATACCGTCCACGTCCCCGATCCCAATTCCGTCCACGTCCCTGGGATCTTCCACGTCCCCGGGATCTTCCACGTCCCCGTCTACTTTTATTGTTCTGAGTTCTACAGAAAGAAAAATTGTAAGAAACACTTGTATAAATAGAAATGCTTATGTACTTAATATAAATTTGATTCTGTCGTTAACTTACACATCCGTCTTCGGGTCGACGCTTTCGGCGTCCCGATGGACCTCGGCAACCACCTCCTCAACTACTCTAATTTCATTTTCTAAAAGAAATATACAAAAGTATTAGCTATTTTATTTTTTACAATTACAATTATGTATTACCTGACAGGACAGACATTGTATGTTCTGAAAAATACAAAAAAAATACGTTAACATAATACCTAGGAGACCAGGTTTACCATTGATTAAATGACATACCTACTTTATTAATTACAACAAATTCAGAAAAACTAATTTTGAAATATAAAAATGCCAATCGGTAAAGTGTTATACTTACGATCTTTATGGTTTGAAACCTGCACTTGAACTAACTCGAAAAAATAACATTTCACCCTTTAAATACTTGTAGTATCTGCAGGTGTTTATCTCAACATTATCTCAAATGCTGCCGAAGCGGCGGCGGCGGCTTTTGTGAAGAAATACAATATCTAATGATTGTGCACAGTTACAAGAGCACGTGTTCTTTACCGCTAAATTATCTCTTCAATTTTTTTTGACACGTATTCACGTCGATAAGGAAGCACATCTTAATATTTTTTTTCTTTATCTAAGGCCCGCTTGTGACGAGAAAATTTTAAACGCAATTATAGACATCAGGTAGGTAATTAGTGTTTTATATAGATAAAGATAGGTAAACGGTAAACCTATTCTATTCAACAATTCAGAACCTCTTCGAATTTGAAAATGTCAAAAAACTTGCACAAAATCTCTACATTTTCAATAAAATTATTGGACAAACGTCCGTTTTATTGTGATCTAGTCCCTCCCGAAAAGCTCCAATTTTTTACAGGGGAAAATTTGTTTAAACCTTCGGGAGAAAATTTACCACGGCGCCGTCGTCCGAGTTACCTCCTCGAGCTAAACGGAAAAAGAAAGAGAAAACTTGCCCGCATGTATCGAAGCCGATTCCGACCCCGTATCTCTTCGCCGTAACGCGCTATTCAAAAACTCCCGTTTTTCACCACTCACCCCCCTCCGGGGGGTGGTAGGGCGACCCGCGACCCCTCGTCTCGTAGATCTCGTCGAGATCTACAATCGCGCAATTGTACGTTTTGCTCTAACTCTAACGGCTCGGCCTGCGGAAAGCGTCAAAGTTGGAAAATGCGAAAAACCACCTTTTCGAGAGCGACCCTCCGGGTCGCGCCGTTTCCAAATTCGACTTTTCCCCGGGATGCTACCGCGGCACGATTACGCTCCTCCCCGTCCCCCTCGATCACCGGAAAACCGCAAGGGGAATTTCGGTAACGTTTTCGAGTTTCGAATTTTTTTCTAAAATTTTCGACTTTTTCGCTTCTTATGGCAGCTACCCCGACGGGTGCCGGGGGAAATTTCTTAACCCCATCGAAAGTTGCCCCAACTATCCTTACCTACCTTAGCCGGCGCCTCGACGTCCTCACTCAAACCGTATAGCCAAGGCGAATTTTTATCCGAGCCCGCGCACCTCCACGACGATGCCGCTCAGGAGAATTTCCCAGTAGCGAAATTCTCGGAATCGATTCGAAATCGTCTCAAAAAGGTCTCATAAAATTTTCATCAAAATCGAATCATTTTTAATTAAATTAAAAATGAAAATCGAGTTGTTGCCCGAGTTTCTTATTTAAGGAGCGGATTTAAATTCCAACATGACTCTCTGGTTTTTGTTATGGGAAATTTTTAAAAAATTTAACCCCTCGCCACGGGCTTAAAACGATTTCGATTTTCTTCGGAGAGGTCAATTTAAAGAGAGAACTAATTATGCTAAATTTTTCCCATTGTAAGTACGTACCTACGAATTACCGTTTAAAAATTATAAAAGAAAATTGGTAAATACGCGACCTAACGGTTTTTTTTTTTTTACAAAAAAATTTCCTGGACCTTTATTTTTCGATCGTTTCGGACGGGGAGCGGTGCGTACGATAGCTAATAATTCGAGCTAAATATTCCCCATTGAACGTACCCGTATGGCAAGTCTCTTAAAAAAATTATAACCGAAAAACTTGCGCGTCTACGAAAACTTTAACCTAAAAACCTTTCTAACGGCTTCAAATTTCAAGGTATGGCCAAAATGCAATTCCCTACATATAAATTAAATCTTCAGCAACAACTTTCCCATTGTAACATTATAATTATAATTAATACAAAATAAAAAAAATAATTAATACAAAAAAAACTTGTCACAAAAAAAAACGGGCACGCGCTCGGGTTCGAACGCGCGATCTTCAAATTCCAAGTCCTAACTGCTTACCGCTAAGCTACCGGGACTTACATTATCACTTCTTTTAAACCACTATAAGTACGACGAGAATACGTAAATTAGCA